GCCTATGGATAAAATAGGTTAATCGCTGTAACCAATATTCAGAAGAAAAATGTTTCCAACGAGATCAAGAGCTTTTCCTGATTGGGTGGTATACAGGGGATTAACCCATTTTCCTCAAAGTGGCTGTAATTGAGAACGAGTCCCATTACCAAAAAAAGACATTCCTAAAGAAATCATGAGTCTATCCCTCGAATGTGTGACCCATAGAAAATTGCTGCGTTTTCTCTGAAGAATATGAAATGCATATTACGGTAAGACTTACGCCAATGAACAGTCTCGGCAAAGACACCGGCAAACAAACACAGTAATAAAGCAGCGCGGAGCATTGTGATAAGAACAACACGGAGATATGGGGATTTAAATAACCATCGTTGACGGAAAACTTGTTAGTGAAAGGCAGCGACACCCTGTTTTCCCGACGATCCCGAGTTGTGATGTTGTTTCGTTGTCGGTTAAGACGTGACAAGATAATGGAGTGGTCATTTCCCGAAACGGTTCAGTGAGACATTACCAGATCATCTGAAAGACTCCTAATGGAAACCCGTGACATGCGTAAGTGACATCAAACTGCATGCTAGAAGGTAATCTGTTTCTTTTATTTCACACAGGGCACATCATTGGTTGGGGATTTTAGTCAAGTCTGTACGAACCCCCCTTTTTTTGGTACGGCCTCCCCCCCCAGCCTCTCTTCCTCCTCATCGAATCGAGCCGTCGAGCGGGGGGGGCATATAGTACACATGTAACAGTGAAACAGGAAAATCACCAAAAGCCAACCCCGTCGGGCGGGGCGGGCCACATAGTAAACATGACAGGAAAATTCACCAGAAGTCTACCACCACACTCTATTAATGGCCGCCAAAACGTAAATACGACCCCCCTCCTAAAAATGACCAAGTACGACCCCTCCCCCTTTACAACGTCCATGAAGCGAGAAAAATCAACTATCAAAATAAATTTTTTCCAACAAAAATACGACCCCTACCCTCTCCTGGCGGCCAAATACGACCCCACTCCTAAAGTGGACGATGTGCCCCTTGATTTCACAAGCAACGAGACGTTCCAGGCCCTCTACTCAAGGCAAGTGGCACGATGAATCCCCTAAATGTGTTGCATTATATTATTAGGTTGTCCGGAAAGTTCTTAGCGTTTTGTGCACCTATTTTTTGTACATTCACTGCTGTTTAAAAACTCTTTCTGCCTTGCTTCTCAGTAGCCATCCCTCGTTTAGAATTCTGCGCTATCTGATGGTATAATTGCCGTTTCACCATTGCTTGATGAACCCCCTTTTTTCAAGATTTTTTCAAGCATGTGAAAAGAGCACTTCGGACGATTTTTTCTTCGACTATAAATTGGGGCAATCCGCAACCGAACAGCTCAGCAAATTAACCAGGTGTGGGGGCCCAATAGTGCTTGAGAAAGCACTGTGCTGCAATGGCTCAACAAAGTTCGTTCAGGAGATTTCAGCATTGAAGATGAACCTCATGGCAGTCGACCTAAAGCAATATCTGACGAGGATTTTGAGGAGATTTTGAAGGCTGACCCATCCCAAACAGTTCGAGAGATTGCAGAAAAGCTAGGCGTTGGCAAATCCAGTGTTGTAGATTGTTTGAAACGCATTGGGAAGGTGAAAAAACCCGACAATTAGGTGCCCCACAATCGGAGTGACCGGCAGGAATCGGCACGTCTCGAGGTTCCTTCTTCGCTGCTTTTGCGCAAAAGAATTGACCCGTTTTTGAACCGATTTGTCACCTGTGATGAAATGGATCATGTATGATAACAGGAGATGTTCCGGACCAGTGGTTGGATTTGGAGGAACACCGAGGTAATTTTCAAAGCCGAACCCTCACGAAAAAAAATTTCTGGTCAGGTTTGGTGGTCATCGGCTGTTGTAATCCACTATAACTTTTTATCGCCAGGCCAAACCATCACAGCAGAACCCTACTGTGAACAAACCGACCAAATGTTCCGAAAATATTGTCAGCTGCAGCCAACACTTATCAAAAGAAAGGGTCCGATTCTTTTGCATGACAACGCCCGCCCACACGTTTCACAAATCACTATCCATAAATTGAACGAATTGGGGTTGAAGTTCTACCTCACCCACCATATTCTCCAGACCTTTCACCAACCGACTGTCACCTTTTCAGACATTTTCAGAACTTCCTTGCTGAAAAATACTTCTTCAATTAAGACCAGGCAAAAAAGACCTTCGTAGATTTCGTGGATTCTCGACCACCCAGTTTTTCCTTTTATGGGATTTCTCGACTGCTGTCACATTGGCAAAGTGTGCTGCATTCAGAACTGGTGCGCCTATTCGAATTAAATCGATGATATTAAGAAAGTTACACTCCTTTAAAGTGAAACACACCCAAAACGCTAAGAACTCTTTCCGGACAATCTAATAATCAGAAACTTCGTCGCCCTGAGACCTGAGTATGCGCTGCGTAAGCCTTTTCCATGGAAGGCACCCCTGTAGTGCCCTATCAAGCCAACATACCCATCTATACGCCTACCGTACCGCAAACGTTCGACCGATGCTCGTATCGCCTCATTTGCAAAGTACAATATAAAGCGAAGGGATTAATATGAAGCGGCTGTGGTGCTCCATGTAGAGCACATATGAGCACATATATGTATGAGCACATACATGCAGCCGTATAGTGTAGCTGTTATTGGCACGATGCCTGCGGGAAACTCGTCCGAAATCGCTTTCTGAGTCATGAAGAACGAAGGCTTTCTCCGCAGGTTTTTGACCGTTTCACTTCGTTTTTTCGCCATTTTCCCCCCACTATATAGCACCCTGCTAGCATTTTAGACCGAGTACCAAATTATCGTGCCCTACACCTTCAATAAACACCGCACGGTTACAATGTGCAAGAATTTGCGCTCTACATTAAATTTTCCATGCTAAT